AAAACTGCTTACATGAAATGACTTTTTTTTTCTTTTAAAGGCAGTATTTGCAGCTTTCTTGTTTGTTTCTATCATTTTGATGCTTTATTGACTGTACATTTGACTTTCAAAATGTATACTTTATTCTTCGAGGGTAGTCGTTACACTTTGTTCAAAATTAGAGTGTCCTCATTTTTTGTTTTGAATAAGATGTCCTTTAATTATTAGCCTTTGAAAAGCACTTTCCTGTTACACATCACACATGACTGATAATGCAGAAACACAAGAAAGAAAATAGCCTCTCACAGACTCGGCCATGGTGATGTGACCGTTCTACCTTTGGTAAAATACACAAGTGGTTTTCTAAGGGCTGAGAGAAGCCATCTTTTCTGAGGGTGCATGAGACTTCCGAAGTATCTTTGGACAGAAGAGATTTTAGGACATGTTGTCCATTGAAGTTTTGCGTTAGAAGAGAATTAAAGGGTCAGCTAGAAACAAGGCATGTCAAAACTGTTTCATGCTTCCTACAGCAAGGATAGCCCGTCTGAACTCATTTAATTGGATCTGGAAGCCAAGTACAAAGCCTGACAGAGTAGTTCAAAGACTCTGAACAAAAGAAAAGGAAATTAGTTTAGGGGACAAGTTAAACTATGATTATACTTCAAATATGCCCTCTCCAAGAAAATAATTTTAGAAGTCTCATATCTGTCCACACTGTAGACCTGAGTAAAAGCATAAAAAAAGCAAAGCCCACTAGTGCATAGTAAATTATGCTTACTTTGTAGAATTCCTAATTCACATGTTAAACATGCATTCTTTCTGTTATCCCTTTTACTTTCTTCTCAGTAAAAAGAGAGAATCCAATTCAATTATGAATGCTAGTGGAAAGATTCTTTTTCACATTACTTTTCTTTTTTTCTCCTCCCAATTTTCTGTGCCTTTGTAAGGAAAATGGTTAACCTGCTGATAATAAGAAATAGAAACTGATCCTCAGTCTCTTTGCTAACAATGAGGAATCTTTTCACCTTTAAGAAGGTAATTAACTTGCTAAACCACACACAATCCAAATTACTTTATACTTAAAGACTAACAGATTGACAATCTACATGTAGTAATTCTTACTACACAGCATCTGAATAAAACTTCCAGGGCTTTCCAAGGTGAAAGTGGGATTCATGAGTGAGAGAAAAAAATATATAGGTGCCCTTGAAAAGTCTCTTCTATTTGTCATGGGTTCCAGATTCTCAAGTTGGAAGTCCAGTTGTGATTACATTTCTTTGTTGTAGTTATTATAAATGTCCCCCATTTGTTTACTTCTTTCTCATATTCTGATGGCTTCCGAATGTCCCACCCAAATTCTTTACCCCAAAGGAGAGAGGCAGAACAGATAGTGAGTGTTCATTACGCCATTAGTGGAGACTGGAAAGCGGAAATGAAAAGAGGAAAGATACAAGTATGAACGGGTCCTAAGACATCCCTCGAAGTCCCACTCTTCCCAAATACCAATCCATGTCCAGGCATGCCCAGAGGGCACTGCCAAGATCAAGGGTACTTAATATCAATAATATCTAATTTGAAGAGTCAGTTTAGTAGAATGGGTAAGAGTGTGAATTCGGGAGTAAGACTATTCAAATTTAAACGCTGACCTTGAAACTTATTTGCTGCATCTGACCTAGTTTCTTCATTGGTAAAATGGATATAAAGTAGTACTTCTCTCACAGGGTTTTTTATGAGAATCCAAGGAGATAATATGTATATGACACAATTCCAGGCCCATGATGAGACCTTGATAAAGGTTAGGCATTGTTATTACCTATTGAGCTCCTACTAAGTGCCAGGTGCTTTCCCTGAATCATCTACTTTGATTAATACAACTCTTCAAAGCAGCTGTGATTATCCTCATGTTATAGAAAAGGCTCAGGGTAATGTCAAGATCCATTCATGTCGTCTCAAATTGCACTGTTTCATCTTTTCTATGGCAGAATAGTATTCCATTGTGTAGATACACCACATCTTCTTTATCCAATCACCTATCAAAGAACACTTTGGTTGTTTCCATGTCTTGGCCACAGTGAATAATGTTGCAATTAACATAGGGGTACATCATGCTAAGCGAAATGAGTCAGACAGAAAAAATCAAGAACCATAAGATTTCACTCATGTAGGATATAAAACTGAAAGCAACAAATGAACAAGGCAAACAAACAAACAAATAAACAAACAAAAACTCATAGACACAGTCAATAGTTTAGTGGTTACCAGAGGGTAAGGGGGGAGAGGGATGGTAGAAGAAGGTAAAGGGGGTCAAATATATGGTGACAGAAGGAAATTTGACTTTGGATGGTGAACACACACTGCATTATATAGATGATGTATTATACAATTGTACACTTGAAACCTATATAATTTTATTAACTAATGTTACCTCAATAAATTTAATAAAAATTAAAATTAAAAAGTACTTTTACAAACATTTCAAAAAAATTAAATAAAACAAAAGGCTCAGGGCAGTTAAGTAACTTTTCTACATACATTGTTAATGGCCAGCCATGCCCCCTGGGAGCATATCATCCCCCAAGTGAGATCAGTCGAGGTTGGATCTGCAGCAGCAATTTCATAGAACTCTCATCTGAAACATCAACTGAACTTTTAGTACCCAGGACTGGTCCCTCTTCTTGAAGTGAAAACACGGTACCCAAATAATGATGATAACTCTGTGTATCAGGCATTACTGTTGTGCCCATTTTATAGATAAAGAAAATCATGACTTTGTCCACATCGCTGAGTCTCACTCACGCCAATTTTTCTGACTGCAGACCTCATGCTGTACCCATGATACTGTCATCCCTGCCTTATTTTCAGAGAGTATTGATCAGTCCTCCCTGAAATTTTCAGATGCTCCCCTGAAAGATCCTTCTGAATCCTAGCCAAAGTGGGCCACAAAGAAAAAAGGAAAGTGCACTGTTTTCTGCTCCCCGAAGTATAGTGAAAGTTGGTTTCAAATGTTCCAGTGAGGAATATTTTTTACCATCTTTCTGCCAAGAGATGTTATCAGCGAAGGTATTCAGTGACTAGGAAAAATCACAGCCTATGAATAGTTTAACTTACAGGCTTTTTTAAAAGATAAAAGCTGGTTATCATCTACACTGCTCAGCTCATTTCTATTGCAAAAATGTAGCCACTAGCTTTTCCTACATATTTGAAAAGAAAACTCTTTAAGCATAGACACTGGGGCTTTTTTTCACGCCCTACTGATAAACTGGACTGCAAATGTTACCTTTGTGGTGTGAGGGTGCAGAGGTCCACTTGGACCCAAGGGTCTCTGAGGCAAGGTGGGTGCTCCTTTCCGTGTGGGCAATGCATAAACACTCAGAAAGTATGTGACCCGATTGTGACCAGGACCTTTGTACCTCTCAAGCATCCCCCATGTTTCTCCTTTTAAAGTGTGCGTTGTGAGTATCAGACAACTGCCTTCAGTGCCACATACTTGTGTAAACTCCATTGTGAGAGAGGAGGGAGATGCATGATTAAGGGATGGAGGGCAAATCAGACCTAGCACACCTTCTACAGATATTTGGGTCCCTGGCAGAGTCAGTATCAATTATGACCAGCAAATGAGAGGTTGTCACAATTAACACCAGTCTCTGAGTCAGGCCAAGTAAACAGCTCAGTTGCACCTTTGTCCTGTATATTTTAAGAGCATGAGTTTAGTCCTGATGCTGGGTTAGGGAGAAGGTGATACCAGATAGAAATCGCATTATAGGTTGCTCTAGCCACTTCCATCTTAAACCCTTAGAGGAGGAATCTTTTGAGTAGCTTACCATATTCTATAGGAGGCTGCTCTACTATTTCAAATGCTGGTAAAAAAAAAAAAAGCGGGGGGAGGGCAGGTAAAAGGATGCAGGATGGACACTCTGGAACAAAGATGGTACAGTTTTTCCAGAACTTCCTTTATTTGTCTAGGAACACAATCTTAGTGGCCAGACTTCTGGGGGGACTGTCCCAACAATGCCCATTCTAAGAAGATGTATTTGCTGTGCTTAAATGCATGCGAGATACAAAAAAAAAAAAAAGAATTCTATCTTTCCTCCAAAGGCATTACCTGTGAAATTTTGGACTGTGATGAAGACATTTATCTTCCTTAGGTTTCCATTTCCTTATCCCCCTCCTGTATTTAGGCACTGCTAATTTAGATTTTAGAGAAAGCTCGGTGATGGATTAGGGCTCTTGAGTTATATAATTCCCTCACCATTTGTCTTTCTTTCTACAAGGAAAATCTAAATGTCAGCCATGAAAATTTTATACTTGTTTAGATATATGGTTGACCCTTGAACAATGCAGGGCTTAGGGGAGCCAACCTCCAGCTCAACCAAAAATTCAAGTATAACTTTTGAGTCCCCCAAAACTTGACTACTAATATCCTACTGTTAACTGGAATCCTTACCAATAGCTTAACAGTTGATTAACACATATCTGTTTATAATATATATTATATACTGTATTCTTACAATAAAGCAAGCTAGAGAAAAGAAAATGTTATTAAGAAAATCGTAAAGAAGAGAAGATACATTTATAATATGTATTGAAAAATATGCACATTAAGTGGAGCCACATAGTTCAAATCTGTGTTGTTCAAGGGTCAACTGTATATCTTCCCACAACTGAATACTTGTTATCTATAGGGTTAAAAACATCCTGTTCTATAGTTTTCATTTTCTCTGTAAATAGCATTGTTTTTCTGTCCTTCAAAAATCATTATGAATTTGTATATGGTTCTGTCACTAACATTATTTTTGTTATGGTTATCTCCTTTAACTCTCAATATTAATATAATAAATAACATAATCAGCAAGTTCTAAAAGCAGTTGATTTTGTTATATGCAGTGTTTATATGTGTGTAACCACAATTTTAATTCAGTTTATGAGATACCAGTCTATTATGTGATTACGAAATTTTGCTGCCAGGTCAAAAATACTTGAAGGTGATGTTCATCTCGTCTCTTCTTTTTTTTTTTTTCCAGGCTCAGAAATCATGGATTGAAAGAGCATTTTATAAAAGAGAATGTGTTCACATCATACCCAGCACCAAAGACCCCCATAGGTAATCTTGCTATCTCTATAATGTACCGAGAACATGACATAGCAACTATGGGAACAAAAGTACAATAGTAATCACCATCCAGTGCATGTAAACCAATGTGAAATTAAAGATCAATTTATATTGTTGCTGGACATCTTTGAAGCAATGTTATATATACACATCACATAATATGCCATCCCTATAGTTAGTTGTCTAAGAGCCTATACAGAATAACAGATATATCATCAGGGAAGGGATTAATCATTGTATCTAAGAATGGGTTATAATATATTTTGAGTATGGTTACTGGTTTTCCCTTTTAAGCATTTCATCAAAATTTTTTTTTATGAAATGTTTGTACTGACATGCTTTGTTACAATGAAAAAGAGAGTTTTGAACAAATGACTCCTAGATTACCAATTAGACTGCAGACATTTAGATTCCTGTCCAAGCACATTTTTAGTATTCTACTTACCTTCCTGAAGATCAACAGATAAGGTGGGAAGTATTTGGGATAAAGTAACATGAATGTCTGGAAATGCCTTTTCGAAAAGGCATTGTAATAAAGTAATTTAAAATATACACTGTAGCGTCATATAGACTAACTGTGAAACCTGGAATACATTACCTAACTTTCAAAACTATAATATTTTACCTGTAAAAATGAATGTCACATTGTTAGCATTTATAAATTATAACTATGTATCAGTATTATTACTAATAATCATAATAGTGGTTGTAGTAAAGTATGAAGGACATTTTAATGGTGTAAGAAGCAAATTTTGTTTTCCAATATCTTGTGAATAATTTTTCATTGTTTCTTCAAGAACACTTAAGCTGCAGATTTTTTTTTTCTCAGAATTGGATATTTGACAGTGAATGTCAATTTGGAAAAGACAAGTTAGATTGTGACTCACATATGAGTGAGAGTCCTCATTTAAATGTGCATGTAAAAATGCTCCCCTTGAAGCTGTTCAGTGTCCTTCCTGCAAGATTTAATAGATGGGAGGAGCAGGAAGTAAAAAAAAAACAAAAAATCTACAGAGGTTTTGTTTGCAGATTCCAATCCTGAACAATATGGCAGGTGTGAAAGGGGTGGGTGGAGAAGGACAGGAGGCATGTTACAGCTTATACACCTAAAGGAAAATGATGAGGGGGCAGAAAAGAAATGTGTATCAAGTAAATCCTGAGTTCACCATTTGTCTGCTAGAGCTATATTACGGTATTCCCCCTAAAATTTGATGAGCTAGCTTACTACAGTTTGTAGGTTTCTCCAGCCTTAAGTGTGTATCCCAATAGTGGCTAATCCATTCGGCTCACTTGGACCTCTTATGTTATAGGTGTTGCTGTGGGCGTCTCATAGGCCAGCATGTTGGCCTCACTCCCAGTATATCCATTCTTCAGAATGAGAAAAATGAAAGTCGCCTCTCACGAAATGACATCCAGTCTGAGAAGTGGTCCATCAGCAAGCACACTCAACTCAGTCCGACGGATGCATTTGGGACCATTGAGTTCCAAGGAGGTGGCCATTCCAACAAAGCCATGGTAATCATTCAGTCACTTCCCAAATTCTGTCTCAAGTCCTGCAAAGGAATGGTGAAGAGCTAGAGATTTAGTCTTCAGGCCCAATCCCAACACTGCCAGTCCCTGGCTGGGTGACCTGCTTTAATTACCTTGCTCCTGTGCATCTCCACTTTCTCTATAAAATCGGGGAAAGAAAACCTTCCTTCCAGGATTTTTAAAAAATTAGTGTGAGGTCAGACACATGACTGTCATTGTTATTAATAATACCAGTAGCTTTCTATAGTTATGTACTGTTTATTATGTTACTTTCTGGGTCTAATCCGTTAAGACATGTTTTTCTAGCTCCTTTGGTAAAAATATCTTACCTTTAGGTCTCTGTTTTATTCTATGGGTAATTAGCGTTTCTCTGCACTCAAAGTAGAAATGACCATCTCAGACTAATTTCTTTCATGTTCTAACAGAGATCTTGCCATCCAAATTGAGTCCTATTTTTCTAAGCAGCTGTGTTCAATAATGTTCTCAACAGAATAGCTTCATATGAAAAGCATTCGTTTTTTGGAAAGGAGGCTTTAGGAAATATACCAATGTTCTAAGAATTGTCACTTCTAAATTTCAGCTTTCCTCATGGACCTCTCCTATTTGGCTGACAGATTTTACCAGGAGAAAAGTATAGCATGTGTTTTTGGAAATTCTAGAAATACTATATTCCAACAAGCTTGCTTCTAACTATTAAAAGAGAGAGTTAGCTGAGGGTGGAGCAGTTGGAGGTGGCTGTTCTCAGGCATGCCACAGTTTTCTGAGTTTGGAGAGGAAATGTTGCTTAGAGAAGCATCCTGCAAAATGCAAGGGGAGTCACTGCACACCAGTTACAGGCTAAAAATAATCACTAAAGCCATCTCTCTTTTTTTTTCCTCTCCTCCCCCTTTTCTCATCTGCCCCCTGCCCACCCCACCGCGCACCACTGCAGTAATTTCTTCACCAAGAATGGCTGACTGAGCTATTCTCACAGTTCTTCCCTAAGAAAATTAATTCTGAGTGATATATTAAATTAAAACCAATACTGAGCAATATATTGGAAAGAAGGTGATGCTGTATGCAACCCCCAGCAAGGCCTGGGAAAACAAAGAAAGGGTTAGTCTTGGGTGTACAGCACTAAGGGAAATGGGGATTTGATAACATAAGGGATGTGTTCGCCCACATAAGATCAATAAGGGTCCCCAACTCAGCTCAGTCCTCATTCACAGTATGGGATTGAACCATATAAAGTGTGGATCCTCTGCAACCATGCATTAGTTAGCAGTCAAGCATGTTCTTCCTATAAGAAACATATTGCATGTGAGGAAGTGGCCTCGTGGACAATCGTCATAGAACGGCACATCCAGTCACTTCATAGGGTGCTGAATGGTGCCTGCCAGCCTCGTGTCGCAAGCCCAGAGGCACATGGTAAGCTTCTGGTCATCGCTTCTGTTGTTACCATGTAGGGTCTGTCAAAGATGGAGCATGAATTTGCTCATAAGTAAGAGGGTCCCTCCACAGTGATCCCCTGGAGAGATGCTAATTACCAGGATGTTGCCAGTGACCAGAACATGTTTTGGGGACTGATTTCAGACAATTTATAGCTCACAGGAGAAAAGCAATCTATCGTTTTATCAAATAATGCTTTTGACCAAAACTTAATCTCAAGCACCTGAAATTCAAACACCTTAGGACTCAGTCACATATGACTTCTGCTAGTTTTTAAAAATCAAGTCCATTGTCAAAAGATAAAGTTTCCCACCACTAAAAGTTCTAAAAGAACAGAATGCTAGTTCAGTAGTGAAGAGTGTGGATTCTGGATGCAGACGCTCTTCAGTTTTTCCCAGGACCATTATATACTTACTGTGTGACATACGAAAAGCTAATTAAATTCTGTGGACCTCAGTGATTCTGTTATCTAGGAATAATAATAATAACAGCATCATAAGTGATTAATGAAATGTCATATGTAAATCATCTGGCATAGTGCCAGGCACATCATAAGTGTAAAATTAATTTTAAGTGCTATTTTTACTACTATCATCATGAGTATTTGTTTCAGGCTCTGAAAAATAATTAAATATTTTGACTAATAATTTGAAGGCCACACATCTAGATGCAAGTCTTGGAATATTATTTTAGAAAGTCAAATTACACACTTTCAGTTTACCCTTTAAAAATAATTCCAGGGGTTCTCATTCCCTCACCTAGTGGTTGAGCACAGACTCTGAAGCCACATTGCTGGGTTGACAGCCTGGCCTGTCACTTAGTGGCTGTGTGACTTTGTACAGTTTGCTTAACTTACCGGTGCCTCAGTTTCCTCATCTGCAGAATGGAAATCATAATTCTTACTTTATAGGGCCGTAGCAAAGATTAAATGAGTCAATGTATATTAAGTGCTTAGATCAATGCCTGATGTTAGAGCTAAGTAAGTGTTCACTGTTATTGCTTCTATTAAGAGGTCACTTACTGCAGTTACAGGAGAGGCTTTGCAATTAATTACAATGAGATGCGTGGTCTTGAAGTCAGGTAGAGCTCTATCTAAACCCTCACTTTCTCGCTGACTAACTAGAAAGTCTTGGTTAAACCAGTCAACTTAGCTGAGCCTCAAGGTTTCTTATCTATGAAATGGGCATGATTCTTTTTTTTTTAGATTTTTATTGGGGAATTGGGGGAAGGGGAACAAACAAGTTGCTGTCCTTTTGTTCTTCAGTCTAGTTGTGGAGGACGTTGCTTCACTGGCCCAAGTTGGCACCATCATTGCACTCTTCCCGGGTGAGGCAGATCAGTCGCCGGCTTCTGGACGGCCGCTCACTGCGGCTGCTGGCTACACACGGTAGCCCATGGCAACCCTCTGCAGCAGGGGCTGCAGCCTATGCCGTCGCCAGCGACCCACGTCAGCCCAGCTCCAGGTTGAGCTGTTGTTCAGCATCTTAGCTGTAGAGGGCAGTGTCACTGGCCCTCATATGTGGGATCTGAACCAGGGCCCTCTGGCGTCCCAAGCCAGCTCTTAACCAATGCACCACTCGGCCAGCCCCTGGGCATGATTCTTTTGGAGGCTTATGAGGCTCGGAGAGGAGATAAAATCGCCTGCTACACAGCTACTGCTCAATATGTTTATGACAGTCATAGTGATAGTACAGTGAAGCAGCTTCTATTACTTCCTCGGAATCTAAAGGAATGTTAAAATATTTGCACAGGAGTACCAGGCTGCATAAGCTGGCATTAGCGATAGTCAATGGCAGGAGGCTGCCGCTGTGGACACCAGCTCATCACTGGCTAGAGATATGTGACTTGTTATACACTCTGACTTCCCCATCGAGTCAGTCTCCTGCATCCATCATTCTAGCAAAACAAGAAGTGAGATGCAGTTACCACTTCACTTTATTCACTGTGGGCCTCAACGATTAGACACCTACTGTGGGTGTGGCGCTTGTGCCTTTTAAGATGGGCAAAGCCAAGATTCCTTTTCATTATATAATTTTTCTACTGGAGATTTTTTTTCCCCTTCTAAAAATTTCTAGTGAATTTGAGAAACCCTAAGGATCCTGGAGCCTGGAACTCCAAACTATATTTGTTAGAATGTATACCCTTCAAAGTATTAATCAAAGTAATTTTGAAACAGCTTTCAGGGTCCATGGCAAATAATAACGATGACTGTAATAATAATAGCAACTCAAATATATTGAACATCTACTGTGTACCCAGCACTGTGCCAAGTACTTACATATGTTACCTCATTTCATGTTTCTGACAGTAGCATTATTCCTATATAATCACATAACATACTACGGCCCAGAAAAGTTAAGTGATTTGCCCCACATCACACAGCTAATATGTGAAATATGTATGATATTTAAGTGTAGAGGAAAAGCAAAAAGAGACAGATAGAGCTTTCCCTCTGTTCCAGAAGAGTGGACACATGTGGACATGAACATTGACAACCCTCCCCAGATCCCATGTAGCTTTGTCGAATGCAGAGCTGTCTGGTGGCAATCAGGTTAGGCAACGTCAACTCCATGACTTTCAGAGCCCACTGTAAAATGAAGATGGAGGCCCCCGCCGGGTCAGGGAAACCAATCCCCACTTCCCACGGCTGACAGTCCCAACCCACGGTGGATGGGCAACCCCCAAGGGATTGCCATCTCCACATTGGAACATGCTTGGTATCTAGTGTGAGTGAGACTTCCCACCGTGTCATTCATGGCACTGCAGCCCAAGGTGGGGACAGCCAGGTCCTTGCCCTGAAATGCTGCAGGGCACATACCTGACCCTGACCCTCTTCTCATCTGCTCCCAGGTCCCAGCCAGGGATGTAGGGTGATGGTGGAGCATAACCCTGTCACTGCCCCATGCAGAGCTGAGGAGGGAAAGCTAGTCTGGCAGGGATGCCAGAGACAGGAGCAGGCAGTGGAGACCAGGAGGTGGGGCTTGTGACCAGGGACCATGTGTGAGCTGAGGGTCCAAGCCTTCTGTGCAGGCTTCGTTGTTCTACCAGACTTCACTTATAAAACATAAATTCAAGGATAAAATTGTTAAGAATTTCAAGACAGCTGCTCTTTTTGACTGCTTCTTCCTTTTTGAGCATCTTTGGAATGTAATTTCTCCTCTAATAACGGACCCTTGAGCCATTCTCTACTGCTCGGGCCTACTTCTATTCTTTGAAATGTATTATCAAGACAAAGTGCAGAGCATTAAACTCTAAGCAAGCCCTTCGGAGCAGGGTGACTGCACTGGGGTTTAATCTTGTCTATCCTACAATAGATGGTCTTGGAACAGTCACTACGAGGAGAAACCTTTCTTTCTGAGTGTAATCATCCAAATGAGGACCAGCTTTCCATATTTAACAAGTGGGAGTTCATGCTATTCAACAGACACAGTGAGCATTTTGTCCACTTTGAATACTTGCCCTCAAATTATTCTGATTCTCCTCTCTAGACAGGAGGGTGGAGCTGTCCGCAGGTCATATGTCTTATTTTATCAGGCAAGATAATCATTTTGCACCAA